GCTCAGCCCCAGCAGGGAGAAACAGCTGCAGTGTGGGGAAGGGGCTTAGGAAGCCCACCCAGCCCCATGTCCTGTGCTCCCACCCTACCCCACACGTGTGCAGGTCCCAGGGGATCCCAGACAGCTCTCACAGAGCCCAGTGATCTTGCCACATCCCAGGGAGGTGGAGATCCCCCTTGCTCCTGTGCATGGGGGCACTCTCTCCCCACGATGGGCAGACCCTGGGAAGTCCTGTGTAGGATGGATGCCCTCGCTGTGCCACTCTCCCCCTCTGAGCAGGTTCTGTGTCCCCACCCCACAGTCACAGCTGGCCCCCCAGCCCTCCCTACTCGGGCACTCACGGTGGATGACGATGCCCAGCAGGAGGGCGATGAGAAAGAGGAGGATGGTGCTCATCAGAGCCACACAGAGCCAGGTGAACTTGCAGTCGGCGCGGTACCGCCAGCTTGCTTGGCCCCAGAGCTGCCGGCCTGCGGGAGGGCAAGGAAAGCGGGCAGAGCTGGGATGCTGCTAGCCATACCCCCACCCTGCCACCTCCCTGCATGGCTGGCTGAGCCCCGGCTGGAGCACATCCTGACCTCTTGTCCCCGGGGTGCTAGTGGGTCCCCTAGCTTGCCCCCGCACCCCGCTCCCAGACCCATGGCTGCTCCTGGCAGCCCCGTGGACAGGGGTATGTGTACAAACCCCCAGGCTGGTACCAAGGCTGTCCTGGGGTGACGTGGGGCCGGTCCTGTCCTTGTCTGCTGGGTGCTCGGTGCTTGGCGCTGCCTGGGGCTCCTTGCCCTCAAAGATGGGGTTGCAGAACTCGGTCTGTAGGAGAGCAAGTGTGGGTGGCACCACGGGGAGCACGCTGTGGGGACCCGTGGGTGGCTAGGTGGGGACCCATAGGCGGCACCCCCACCCCCAGCCCTACCTTGCTGTGGTCCAGAGCCTCGGGGCAAAGCATGATTTCGGTGAAGTCTTTCATTGCGGCGGGCGATTTCCAGTGCAGTCTGGCTAAAAGCCTCCCCAGCGCGCTCTGCCTCCCGGCACAGCCGCCTGCCCCACCACCCGCTCCTCCCTGGCTGCCCCCATTGGCCCTGGGGCGGCGTGGGGAACCCCGCTCCACACACACGGGTGGCAGCACCAGCTGTGCCTACACGTGCCGTCCCAGTGCCGGACCCTGCAGAGCCCCGAGAGCCATGCCTGCCGCACCAAGAGTGTGGGGAGCCCCGGGAGGCCGGCAGCCCCAGTCCCCTCTGCAGGCCCCTTCCCCCTCGCCCAGTTAATCCAGCTCAGCTGAGGATGCCGAGGTCAGGCTCTGGCACAGAGAACCAGCGTCTTAAAGGGGAAGGTGTGCTCGCACCCGCCCCGCTGGGAGCCCGTTCCGCCAGGGACCCTGCTTTCGGGTGCACGGAGGGGCCGTTGGTTTGCCTGCTTCCTCCGGGCTCCCCACCGGTGCAGGGCAGCACTGAAGGGGCTGTGTCGGGGAGCCTGGGCTGAACCCGTCCCTCCTTCCCTCGCACCTCCCCGGCACTGGGCGCCTGAGGCCCGCCACCTGCATTCCCGACGTCTCTTAATGCCTCGGTGCCTGTCTCGGTCCCTAAGCAGGGGAGAAAGGAGCCATTGTTCAGGGGCTTTGGGGGAAGAGCATGGGCACTGGGGAGCTTCGCAGGGCTGAAGAGGAGGAAAGGCTCCCTCTGCCTCCCGGCACCACAGGTGGCTGGAGGAGAGGGACTGCCGCCTGCACCCTTGTCTCCCTTGCTCCAGGAAAGCCCCAGGGCACGGGTGCTCCTGGGCCTCTGGAGACACGCATGGGCAGGCTGCTCCGGCACCGGTGGTGGTTTCCCTCCTGCTGCCGAAGCCACAGTCCCCCGTCTGCCCGCTCAGAGACAAGCACATGTACACAGCGCTCTGTTCAAGCTAAAATTTATTCCTGCACGAGTCTCCCTTGTACGAGACACTTCCCACCCATCTTGCTTACACAGTAAACAAGCCACCTGCCAAGCAGCAACGCTGCCCCAGTCCGGTACCTGCCGCGGGCAGCCCCTCCATCCTGGCCTGCCCTCCCCTGAGCCCCACCAGGATGCCCCAGGCTGGGCGGGATACTCATGGCGTGAGAGTGCTCAGCCTGTGCCCGCAGGGCCAGCGAGGGCGAAGCAGGACGGGTTGCTGGGTTGGACATAGCTGCCTTGCGGGCTGGGGCTGGGATTGTGCTGGGTTGGGCCCATCTCTCCTCCTGCTGCACCTCAGGCAAGGCAGGATGGGGAGGAGAATAAATTAGAGAAAAGGCTAAAAAGGCCACTGGCGTTTGCTAGCTGGAGGACAGAGCAGCAGGGTGGGTGGGGACGTGCATCCCCGGGCACCCGGAGGGGCTCCTGATAGCAGAGAGAAGAAAGCCCCAATTGCAGATGGTCCCGGAAAGCCACTGTCCTCCCCTCCCTCTCCTCCGCAGGACGGACGTTCCTGTGCAACCCCAATGGCCTCCCGCTCCCCTAAATGGTTTAAGGCACCGTCGTATGAGGAGGCAGGTAAAAACCTACCCGAAGCATCCCCCGGCACAAGTCCCTGGAGAGCCAGGAAGTGGTGGGGTGCTCCAGGTTGAGCAAAGTCCACTATAAATACATATAAATTCCACAAAATGTTTTCCTCCCTCCTGTCCGTGAGTCTGGGCCTGAACTCAGGCTGCTTTGAGGAGTGTGCATGGGGCAGCTGGTGGGGACGTGCTGCCTGAGACGAGACGGAGGCAACTGAAGGGCCGGGGTCCTTTGCCAGGAGGTTCAGAAGTGCTGGGAGGAGGCCGGGAGCAGTTCATGAATCCTCTGGGACAGCCAAGCAGAATGGGAGTGCCAAGAGGCCAGGAGGGATGCGGGAAGCTCTCCTGGGTCCCCAGCTCTGGGTGCTCCCCCAGGGGAGCAGAGGTCCTGGCTGACTCAATGGGGCAGGCAGCCCCATGCCCGCAGAGTCCCTTGCTCAGTATTTTTATTACACACCAACAAAAAAAAAAAAAAAGAAAGAAACTAAAACGTACCCCAAGGTAAAAACCAAATGCCAGCGACCAGGAGGCGCCTGAGCTGCCTGGGCCCTGCCCTGCCGCGGGCTGCCCTCCTCAGTTCGGAGCTGGGGTGTCCTTGCCTGGGGTCTGCTCCTGGCTGCCTCTAGCCTCCCGCTGCAGCCACCTCAGGGTCTCTCCTCTTCACCTCCCTCTTGCACCCGGGGGGCAAATGGCCGAAACCTGGAGGGGCCGGTTCTGAGCGGTGGTGCAGGGGTCCCCAGGGAGGCAGGGCTGGCTACATGCGGGAGGACGGGCTGGCCAGCTCGTAGAAGAGCAGGTAGGCATCGCTGCTGCGGACGTGGCTGGATGACATTGGGGTAACACTGCGGAGATGGGGATATGTGCTGTGAGCAACGGGGATGAGGCACCGGGATGCCCTGGGCAGGGGGACCCCGCTCGCCCTGACCCTGCAGCCGCCCCTGTCCCACACACAGCCTCACCGGGAGTCGTTGAAACTGTGCCACTCACTGGAGACAGGGCTCTTGCAGTAGGCGGTGTAGTGTCCCCCCATGGTGGTGCCCGAGTGGTTGGAGACGGCGTAGAGGTTGTAAACGGCGTGGTCTGAGGGGAGCAAGGGCGGTGCTCAGCCGTGCCAGCTGCTGCCCTGCTGCCCCCCAACATGCCAGCACGGAGCTGGGGCTGGGAGGGACCGGCACCCTGGATGTCTGCGGCTCCCACCCCCCGTGCCTCTGCCACCCGCCACAGGCTGCAGCACCCTGGGGGGCATGAGGGACCCAGCTGGGAGCCGCCGGGAGCCCAGGGCTTGGCTGGAGCAACACAGGGCCCGTCACTCACTGCAGCTCTGCGAGGCAAACTCCCGGAGGTCCAGGTCCTTCAGCTGGAAGTTGACAAAGGTGGTGAGCTTGCTCGTTCGTATCCTGGCCTCTGAGAAGCGCTTCAGGTCTGGGGGGACGTGTCAAGGAGCTGAGGGACAAAGGGGAGCCTGCGAAGAACTGCCTGCCCCCCCACCAGCACCCCCTGGCCCTGTCTCTCTGCCTGAAGGATACGAAGCACCAGGATCTTGGGGAACTTCTGGATGCTGAATTTCTTTGTGCACCTCGTCCTGGCTTTGCAGCGACAACATGTCTGTAGGAGACAAACAGCACGAGCAGGAGGGTGAGGGCAGAGGCCAGCCCCACTGGGCACCAAGCCCACAGTCCTGGCAACACAGGCATGGAGGGAAAGGGGCCCAGCCTGCACCAAGGCAAGCCCACCTGTCACCATGCCCCATGCCCCGTACCGGTTTCTCGTCCCCATCCAGCACGTCCTCTTTGGTGAAGAGCCGTAGGCAGTCCATGAGGGTCACCTCCCCGTAGCCTTTCTGTGGGAGCACAGTGCGGGTCAGGGACAGGGTGTGCGGGGCAGGGGGCCAGGGGTTGGTGGGGACCCCTTACCTTGGGGATGGGCAGGGACAAGTCCCAGAAGGGGTCGAAGGCTGTGGAGCAGTAGCCACACTCGCTGCAGGTCAGTGAACTCTTCAGCTGCCCAACAAAGAGGTCTGGTGGGGATGGGACAAAGCAGGGTGAGATCCCTGGTTCCCAGCCCTGCTCCCAGCCCAGCCTTGCCCTCCTCTTCCCACAGCCCTGCTCACCGCCAATGCGGCTGTCCTCCCTCTCCTGGTACCTCCCCCACATCTGGCCG